GTGAGTCCCGTCCTGTCCTCTTCGTATCGAGAGGATGTTGAGAGGTTGAACAGAATCACATCCAATCTGTCCAAGGACGACCTGCTGGGAAGGTCCCTGCTTAATTTGTCTTCCCGCTGCTCTGCGATTGGCCCTTTGCCATATTTTAAAGTGAATACGAACAGTCAAAATGTCTCTCTCTCTCTCTCTCTCTCTCTCTGTCTCTCCTCCATCTCTCACTGTCGGTACATGGGGGAAAAGGCAAACGGTACAAAGGACGAAGCTTGTTGCAGTGAGGATATTGACAATGACGGGGCCACCAGTCATTGCATTAAAGCCAAAAGAATCTGAGAAAGGGCGCTTCCAGTGTGTTGTTAAAATATTTAAGCTCAGCAAGGGGAGGTTTTCAGAATCCATTCTGCTTAATTCATGTGTGTCACTGGCACTAAAAATTGTCCTGACAACTGCTTTAGGAGTCTTTAAAAACGTGTGTTAATGCATACTGTAACAGATCGATAGAAGACCTTATCTTAAAGGTCCAATGTGTAAACTTTAGAGGCTCCATTGGCAGAAATGGAATATAATATCTAAAGTTTTCATTAGTGTATCACCTGAAAATAAGAATCGTTGTGTTGTCCTCTTCTACAGGGTCCACCATGAACCGCCACAAACCAAACACTGGCACTAGATAGGGCCCTTCACATTTTTGCCAGGTTTCACAGCCAACATAGTTTGTCCTACCCGCTTGGAAGGTTGAGCTTCACCACTAGATGCCACTAAATGCTACACTGACCCTTTAAATCAATCAAGTTTCATATAAAAGATCACACTCGTATTAACAATCTGTGTATATTATCCAATCAGACTGATCTGTTTTATACCCTTTATGCTCCAACCTTTACTGAATAACATCAAAACATTTTGTGCATTCTAAGAATCTGTAGTTTGGCAAAACTCAATATGAACTTACATGTTTTTTTTCACGGTTTTTAACCAGGTGGACATTGCTCAGTCATCAATGAGATGGATAGATTGAAATGTGAGCTATAGGGGCTGAAAATGGTGATGTGCATTATGGACATGCTGAAAAACATTATATATGACATATAAACAGCTACTGAGCTCAGAGCAAGCTAGAAGACTGTAATATAGATGAAAACTCAGAAAACGCCAGCATGTGTGGACCTGGATTCAGGATTGTTTTGTCAAACTACTATTTCCAAGGTCAAGAATGGACTTAGAAGCTTCGTTTAATCAATGTTTCACCTCTGAAATGAGATATCACCACAAAAATGACATGTACCTTCACAAATAAAAACACCAGGTTATTAGTCATGAGTTGACTTTAAGGCCTTCAGACAAGAATAATCCCTGTTTATCTTTGTATGGTTTCCGAGTGTGTTGTAATGAAACACTTGATACTGAATTGTACACAGAAGTAAGAGATGAGTCATCATTCCCCAGTGCAGTTCGTTAGTAAGCACATCAGGCACTCAGGGAGACAGACACAGTCAAGCACCTGATCATAAAGTGAAGGATCATGACACCACTAAGTGTGGTTTTATAAGTGCCCCATCATTAAGAATAAGTCATTTCAGTTAAAAATGAAAAAAATAAAAAATAAAGACGAGCTACGACAGGCTAGAGGTTAAATCAGAGGTCTGTGCTGCCATCTGCTGTTGATGTCTTTTCTTCTTCTTTTTTACCAAACTCATGGAAAAGATTATATATTATATTATATATATTGTCTGCTTTGTGTTTTATAGCAAAGTACCGAATTGGATTGTTTTAAATAATATATAGTTTACTTCAGAGTTCATGCAACTCTATATTTATACTCAACTACATTAGAGGGAAATATTGTACTTTGTACTACACTATATTTATTTTCTAGCTTTAGCTACAGGGAACTGTAGATTTTAGGATTTTACATTAAAAAAGCTATTATCAGTTTATGAAATATGATGCATTTTTTTGTCACTTGAATGCATCATTCATCCAATAGTATACTGTAAAAGTGTAAAACTAAAATACATCAGCATGTTTAGCTGCTCCCACTCACAGTGGTACTTTATGTGCAGTTAGGTTTCTCCCTCACAACCTTCAAGCTATCTAGTTCACACGTGTTTGACTTTAGACTTCACCACAAGAATAACGGTGTGGTTGTGCAGAAAAGTGCACTGTCTTTCTCCTTCATAACAAGAAACAAAAGTCTCCCCTTGCAGTGTTTTTCAGAACAATGTTTGTGAGAGGAGGAAGAGGAAGTGGTCTCCCATAACGTTGTCAAATGTAGGTGATCAAGGTAACTCTATGCAGCAGAGGAGCCAGGTGTCAGCAATCACCCGATGGCTGCCTGACTCATATAAAAGCAGTATTCTGTGTTTCACTGTGTAGCTGCTGTCTCAACTTAAAGAAAGTGCAGAATACTGGTGAGTGTTAATTAGTTGGATGTGGTTGCTACATCAAGGGGTTTATTATTTGTTAAATTGAATATTTTAAGATGTTGTTGGCTCTAATGTTTAAATATGTTCCAAGAGGCTGCTTTTAAAGCCACTTAACCTCATGACCCCAAAATCTGTAAAGGCCTTTATTTCAAGCAGTCGCTGAAGTTAAAATATATTAAATTCCCTTGAAATTACCTCTTAAAATGTGTCACTCTGTTTTACTGTGTAATCTGAGATTAATGATTTCTCTCAACTCAGACTAAAGATGTCTGGCCGTGGTAAGAAAGTTGTACCCAAACCTTCAAAATCTTCAGTGTCCCGGTCTTCCAGAGCGGGGATCACTTTCCCAGTGGGCCGCATCCATAGGCTGCTGAGGAAAGGCAACTATGCCCAGCGAGTTGGGAATGGAGCTGCTGTTTACCTCTCAGCCGTCCTGGAATACCTTTGTGCTGAAATCCTGGAGCTGGCAGGAAACGCTTGCCGTGACAACAAGAAGCATCGTATCGCTCCTCGCCACATCTTGTTGGCAGTGAAAAATGACGAAGAGCTCAACAAACTGCTGGCGGGGGTCACAATTTCAGACGGTGGCGTCATCCCAAATATCCAGGCCAGCCTTCTACCCAAGAAGACCAAGGTGTCCAAGGATGACAGTACTGTTAAAGACCTTGAGTCTCAAGAGTTTTAATAGTGATGTATCTTAAAGTTTTGCAAATTTTATTAAAATAAAGTCTTTATATTTTTCAATGGTGTACATTTCTGAATACTTGATACTGGAGCCAGGTACTGCAATCTGTATTCTTTCTGGGAAAAGTCTGTACTTCCAGTGGTCCTCGAGTGTCTTTGCGGCAGCTGGGAAAATTTCTCTGAATGCTACGGAAACGTGCTTCATTTCCTGCTTCCTGTAGCCAAGGAAATGTAATGCTTTTTGAGGAATATAGAGTGATGACTGCTTTCTATCTTTACATGTCCACCAAACTCCCATCTTTAAACTGGTCAAACACACTCATGCCTGTGAGCTTAATGTGTACACGTTGTAAATTTCAGGTCTACATTTTGGCTTCTGTTGGCTCGACATGTTCTGTAGATGTCGACCCGTCCAATTTTCATAAAAAGTAACTCAGCCAATGAGACAAACAGTTTAATCTTGACTATAGCCCAAAAGGCTACCCCCAGAATAAACTACTCAATCTCCGCAACTTAAACTGCTGGAGGTTTGTCTTTTAAGCCAACATTCATGATCTGACAAAACAAGAACCTTAATCGCACCACACTGGTAAGGCTCATATCTTGTGAAATCTGCCAAATATTGAGGAAAAATATCCAAGATGACAGTACAGCCTAAAGTGCTCAGATAATTGTAAAGTGTCACTTATTGCAGGAGTTCTTCTGTAGCCTAATTTACATTTTGAGTTGTTCACTGAATTACGAAAGTACATCATTTGATTGGTAAGTGATAAAGTTCTTGCTGACAGCACTTGAACCTGAAATGCCTGACACTATTTCCAATTAGCATTAGAAATCTGACACAGGTCAGCAAAATGTTGACCCTGGAAGTGTTTATTGTATTCCCAAAGTGAAAGGTTTCCCATGTTTGAATTATAGTTGTACTGGAACTGTCTAAAGGACAGAGCTTCATAGATATGTATTCATATGATACTTTGCATATAAGTGTTCAGCTGATCATTTCTAATGTGACGCAAACAAATGCTCCATTCAGTAGATAATTTAATATTTGAGTGTTCAACATCCTTAATTCAAATTGTGTACAGCATGCCAACAAGTGCAACATTTGTATTGTACAAATCTAGTTCAATCTTATTTTGCAGTACCACTTTAACATGAGAATCATGCAATTTTAAAACTGGTAAGTCTTACTGGCTTGCATAAGAGACACTCCCCAAAAGTGTCCATTAGCTCACAAATTATAAAATGTTTGGAACAGTTGCATCCCATTTAAAGGACCCTGGGTATTTCAAACTAACATGCATATTGATTTTTAAAGATATTAATACTTGGAGATGGTGTACTGGGGAATTTATTATATGGGCGTCTTTCCGCTTAAACACAATCAGATATCACAACAACAAAAAAATAAACTTGGGAAAGATTTAAAACTGTTTTGTGTTTATGTATCTCGTGATGTGGAATTTCTCAAATCAATTATATCTATTAGAGTTAAAATAAAAACTACTGTATTGGTTAATTAACTGTGTGCTGTAACCTTATATACATAGACTACTCACAAAAAGTTAGGGATATTCCACTTTCGGGTGAAATTTATGGAAAATGTAAAAAGTTGATGCTACAGTGATATTACATCATGAAAGTAGAGCATTTAAGTAGAAGGTCAAATTAAGATCACCTGGAAAGGTTATAGTGCATTTTATGTACATTCTGAAATTTCACCCGAAAGCCGAATATCCCTAACTTTTTGTGAGCAGTGTATATATACTGTCAATCAAACATAACCTCTTCCTGTGCTTTTTTTTTTGTTTTGTTTCGCAACCCTCTGTAACACTGCGTCCGCTGAACGTACCCCTGTGGCTACCGACGTGCTGACGTCAGACGTACGGACAACAAACAGTTGTTGGACTTGAACAAGCTAGCGAATGGTAACGCCGGACAAAAAACATCTCCAGCGTACTTCTCCCGGATACGGAGACACCTACGAGACCTAACACAAACTCCTAACAATTAACAGCATCGAGTACCGACAGGTGTAGCCGCGGCCCGGTTCCCCTCGGCGCCAACGTTAACCACGGAAGAAAACATGCCCGTTGCTCGGAGTGTGACGCCTGCTGTTTTTTTAGTGTCTGGCTGCCGCTGGTCGACGGCGGTGATGTGAGCCGAGTTGCACCGCGACAGAGGGGGTGAGACAAGAGAGCCACAGCCGGGTAATAGTGTCTGCTGCTGCTGGTGGTGCTGCTGCTGGGGGTTTGTGTTGTTTTTTTTTGTGTGTGTGTGTATTTTTTTTTTTTTTCCTCGACACAGAAGAATGGACTTTGTCGGACGGACTCACGTACTGAAGCGGGCATGCGACCGTACACGGGCCTGGGTGTCATTGTTGGGCAACAACTTTAGCAAGCTAGCTAACAGTGGCTCGCTTAAATTCATGTAAATGAATCGGTTTGGTGTCGGGCAGTAAGCTCACTTTGCTCGCGTAATGGAGGCACCCTGAGTGACTTTATTCGCTTCAATCCACCGGTGCTCTTTTTTTTTTAAATACTGCTGGCGATGTGCTGACGACCCAGTGAGCATTTTTCCTCGGTTCCCATTTGGTTGGCAGGATTATTAAGAGGTGGTAGTTGAGCAAAAAAAGAAAAAGTTGCCCAGTTTGGCATATAAATAATTACTGAAACAGTATCTATTTCACATAGGTATCACGCGTTTCTTGTATTGATATTTGTGTGAAATTGCACTTTAATAAGCTCATTTTTTTTAAGGCATGCGCCAAAGTCACCTGTGATTTTGGGGGTTTGTGAAAGCTATACATCTTTAAAATCACCACCCCAGCACATCAAACCAGTCAAAAAATACAGGTAACATTTTCTGATTGCACTTGAATATAAGTGAGTATATGAATATATCATTAAAGGACCAGGATAGGTGCACATCTACGTATATTGTTGTGAGACAGAGGCTAGAGACAGGCTTATCCATGTCCGTTGGTTCCTAGTTACTGTTTAACTCAATATCTAGGCTGTCTGGAACAGTTAAAGACTGAGTTTCACTGGAAATGAAAACATGAATATCGAAGAGCAGTGTCTAGATTTGTGCAATGTCAAGACAAAAAGCAACGTGGACGATGATCACAACACTACCAACAACACAGAAGGGGTCACCCCCCGGATCTCTGAACTGATGACGGACAGTAACACAGAAAAACAAAACAGTGTTCCCACAGAGGCCTCTGAAACGTACCTGATGCCTCAGCTCACTGACAACCTTCAGGCAACTGAGGAGGATAACCACCAGGCACAAGACACACTGGAAATTGATGAGGTCAATGGAAATAGAAAAAGCAGTGCCCAAGAAACCCCTGCCGTGGTGAATCCCACTGACTTGATCTTCTCTAATGATGAGCAGCACAAGGGCGATATCGGTGTAGAGAAAATGAAGGAAGAAAAGGACACTGAACCCGCAAAGTTTGTTGTGGGGGAAGGGGATGAAGGTGGGGACATGGACATAGGTGTGGACCTGAGTCTCGACGAGAGTGGGGTGTTGGAGGCTGAATCGACAAATGTCCGATCATTCACAGACAATACTTTAGACTCCACATCTCAGGATGTCCCAGCTGACAGCGCGGCAGAGAGCCCGTCAGATGCGAGAAAGACAAGCATCACGGAGGCTATTGCCACGGATCCGGCTGGACTGTACCCAACCGTGGAGGAAGGGGACGATAAACAGAAACCAGGTGGCAAGAGGGTGACTTTTCCATCAGATAAGGATATTGTGTCCGGCGCAGTGGAGCCCAAGGACCCCTGGAGGCATGGTAATACTGTGTGTTTGTTTCTACATGTCTGTAGGTGTGAATGACTTTCTATTTATTCTTCTTGTCCATTGTGCCTGCATGAACATGTCCCTTTTCATCATAGTTTGGCAGGTTTTATTCTCGTAGGATATCTGGAAAGCTGTTATGTGCCCAGTCATGGTCCAATGTTCCACGTGTAGTCGGTAAAAACGTGATTTAGATGATGGCTGTTGACACTGATACGTACGAGAGAGGTGTGTTTCTGAGAGGAATGTTCTTTTGTTTCTTTCTTCTTTCTCTTGAACGATCACACTACAGTCCTCTTTAGTCCTCAGGCGGCACCTGAGCCCCCGCCCCCTTTTCAAACAGAAGTTAATTTCTTAGTTAAATAGTCAAAAACATAATCACATAGTCTGAGTTTTTGTACCAACAGCTACAGCTAACGTACACCTATATCTCAATATAGGCCCACGCCTTTACTGTATGCCATATTGTGAATGAATCCCACCACTCCTTGAGGTGTGCCATTTTACCAGTTAGGTTCCTGTTTGTTCAGTGAAAACATGTCCAAAGGAAGCTCGTGCAGGATATGGCACTGCCTTTACTGTGTTGATATAAGGAGCTCCAGCTTTACAACAAAATGAGAAGTTACTTTTCCCCCTTTTTAAAAGCTAATCTGCCATGTTTTACAATAAATGCCATTAAATACAAGAGGGAGGATCAACAACAGGATCCAGATTGGTAGAGAATACATACTTATTTTACATAATATGCAAATAGATCCAAGCTAGGAATACATTACTCTAAACCAGTGTGCATGAATGTAAATTAGGTGCAAAACCATAAATCAAGTATTTTTGGAATGTCTTTTATTTTTATATTAGTATTCATATTTATTAGTATGCATATATAATAATTATAATCAAGCATAATGTGACAAATAATATAAATATCAGTTTGGTTAGTCCACACTCTTCTGCATTCTTCTTTTTAATTGAATTAAACTTTATTGTCTTTGTATACAGTAAAGATCAATACATTGAAATTCAAGTTTGATTTAAAAATGCAAAGACTGACAGCTTCTGAGTTACTGTTCATTTGTATTTGATTATTAGTCATTGTGCTCCAGTAACCAAAGAGAAAATAGAGGAATGCCCCACTGACCTTTTTCCTGGCTCTTTGGTCTGCAGACCTGATTGAAGTCTAATAATATTGATTACCTGCCATTACCAGGTCTCTATTATTTGTTTTTGCAGTCTATTTACTCTTATGCCAACCTATACTGTTAGTATACAGTATGTTTCATTCTTTTTTTGGAGGAACTTATAATCGGACCATGACTCACATTATCCTTCATCCGGCGTGGACAATGGACATTAATAAGCAGACCTACTGTCATGGTGTGAGAACTGGTGTTTGCCCACTGTACTGTGACGGCAGTCGACATAGTTACACAGTCTGCTGCAGTCTGAGGAAGATGCCATTTGTGATTATGTGGTCTATATACTAGCGGACTTGTGGTATAAAATGTCTTTGTGACCTGTGTGGTGTTAAAGGTAAGCAAGTGAGAGTCCTGTTGTTGTTGTTGTTGTTGTTGTTGTTGTTGTTGTTGTTCTTTTTCCTGATGTATAAATCCAAAAATGTAGGCCAGGCCAAGGCAAGGGTCAGTGATGCGAGATGTCCAGATGGGGGAGGGGGCGTAGAAAGAAGAACAAAAGCAGCAAGGTTAATATGCACTGCCTCGTGTTCAGCTGCATATAAATTGTTCTATTAACATGCCTGCGATTGGTCAGACAGCCACTCAGAAGGACACTTGTGTTTCTCCCCACTTATCCTTACACATTAAGCTGCATATAACTATAAATCATAGTCTACCCACTTAAAATAATTTACACGTTTGTAGCATTCGTGGCCCTTACTACTCGTCACATAACCCTGTTGCTCTTCCAAATGTTTCAGTGTCGGCTTACAGTGCCTTTACAGTGCACATGCCAGGCAGCCAGTCTGATAGTAAACTGGACATGAAATATCTTTAGCCAGACTCCACAGGGGCAAAGTCTCCAATCCAGTTAGCAAAGATTTCTGGGACCTTATGAAACCACTGGCACTGGGAACAGTTAAGTATCCAGATGACTGTAGTGTGCACTCTATCACAGCACATTTATCACGTAGTTTATTTAAGTTCCAAAGGTCCAGCTGATTGTGTCGTAGATATTGAGCTAGACAGACAGTTGATGGCGGGGAAGTTAATCACATGATACAGAATGTTCTGTTTTTAATGGAGGGAAAGATAAAACGCTGCCGTACGTTTATCAGATAATATTTCAGTCCAATGGATTGGATGGACATAATCATTTGAAATCCAATAATAATTCAAGCTCTCAACAATTTGATAGTTGAGTTCGGTCCAAGAACGGTTGTAATGAGATCAGATTGAAGTAATTTTGTTTATTATCTTTTATGTTTTGAAACATTTGAATACATTCTTTATTCTCATTGTTTAGACTAGATCTTCAGTTGTGTACAGTGATAGCAGTTTCCTGGGTGTGAAAAACAACCGAGCCAGCTTTCTAGGTGGAATTAAGAGACAACATAATCCGGCACCAGTGCCAGAACAAAAGGCCACTAAAATCCCAACAAGCCAAGCGTGGATGAGATTGACACAGGTTGTTGTAAATTGAGTTTGAAAACATGGAAAACCGCTGCTGCAGCACCTGTGTCTCGACTAAAGTGACGTAAAGGGGACACATCCATGAGGATCCCCTTTTATAGGGCATGAGGACCAGTCGGTCAGAAAGTGTTTACATACTGGTGAGATATGAAATCTGATCTAGAAAGGAAAGTGTTTAAATGTTATCAGACGGCAGAACACTGCACAAAGGATTACAGTACTCACAAACAGGATTTCACACGTTTTACTGGAAAGTTAGATTGGCATCAGCTTTTTTATTTATTGTCACAAATACCGTGAGGAGTTTGAGCTAAATGTCCCTGGTGATGTTGCAGTAAGACTTTCTGTCAGGCTATGGTTGGTTGAATTGGCTAATGTGTAATTAAGTTGTAAAAACATGTAGTCACCCACTTTAAAGTATTTAATAACATCTAACAAAGCCTGATAATGACTGTATGCATGAGGTTTAATAAATAATTGCTCCTTTGCACCTCAGTTGCACATCACATACTATATGTGTTGAATGTGGAAATGGCTTCTAGTAATATTTTCTACTCTACTAATGTCTCATTGGTGAACTTCCTAAACCTTTTGACGTTCACCTGGATATCTTTACCTTTGTACTGCTTCTGCCATCTACCTTTAGGACATGCTCGCACATGAAACAGACATCTGAGTGTGTCTCTGTGTGTGTTTGAGACAAAGTCCAGGAAATTAAATGTATCTGAATCCCTCTGCAAGGCTCTCCGTGCTTTGTTAAGAGCACTCTGCCACAATAAATCCATGATCTATCCAGACCCTTTATCTGCCGAACCAGTGTCACGTTTCTGACAGATGACATAAGACAGAGACCCAGAGAACAGTGAACTGGGCCTGAGCTCACAGAGCCTGGAGCTTCCTCCATGCACAGTGTGAGTTACTGCTGTAAGAGCAGAGGGAAGAATTTCTTTGGCAAGTACTGAGCAATTTCAAAGCAACATATATCGGCTCTAATTGCTCTCACGAAATGTGCCTCTGAACAGGAGTTAAGTTCATGGAGTGTAGAACGCTGCCATTCAAAATAAACCCCCGGGGTTCGGGAGGGAACAGAGTTGGTGGTGGTGGGGGGGAACAATAGTAGGCAGCTGCGGTGTCATATTTATGTTTCTTTCTGGGCACTCTCATTTTTCCAGGATTGACGTTGTCCTGTTTAGTCATCAGCTAACAGACAATGTGTGAGGCTAAAACTTACAGAAAAAACAACAAAGTAGGGCTTCTTAGAGCTACCTTTCTAATATTATAGAGCATTTCAGAGTTCAATTTTGTCGATGTACTCTTAAACAGTATAAAGGAAGTAGTAAAACATTCCTATGTCATTTTGTTCTGAGTTAGATAATCATTCACGATCATTCCTCCTTTTTTTTTTGCTTCTTCTTTCCCCTCTCCCTGTCGAGACTTGAGGGGCGCTTGTTCTTTCCCTCCAGGCCTGAGCAAATACTACATCATATCCTGAGATTCCTGAACTTCCCAACATGCTGCGTTGCTTCCCCTGCTCCCTTCACTTCTCCTCCCTGGCTGGCCAATTCAGTCTGGGTGCAGACTGGGCTTATATCAGCAAAGCATGTCGTTACAAAAGCACTGCACCACACTGGAAGCATGTGCTAAGTCATACATTTCATCACACTTATCAGTGACTGCAACACACTAAAATGTAGAAAGATTGTTACATAGAGAATAATGGAGCACTACAGTGCTACAACTAAAGTACTACAATCTTACTGTAATACAGCTTTTTGTACAAATAAGGTAAAGCCTACTACTTGCAGGGCAAGACAGTTCCTTCATATTAATGACTGTTTATTCTGCAAGCGACCAAACTCTTTGGCCTACGTGCAGCTCCGTCTCATGTCATCAGACCCAAGGCCCACTTGGCACCAGGTTGTTAGAGGCTCTGTGACCCATGAAATGTTATGTGTTGTGGCTGTGGACCAAGTTACATACTGATAAGCAAAGCTTTCAGCGTACAGAATGGACAAAGGCTTTGGAAACCTAGAAGTTCAGTTTGCGCTAGAGGCAGACCAGTACTGGGTTTTTGGGGCCAGTAAGGCCAATAAAAGCGAAACAATAAACTCTTTTGAAGTCATCTGACCAAAGCACGATATTTGATAAATGGACCATTAGTGTTGACAGTGTTTAATGTCCTCTCACGCTCTTGTCTTTTGCATTTAGTTGTGCAATGATACTTTTTCATCCTTCTAGGAGTACCATGGTTGCAAATATTTGAGCGTTAAATCAGCCGAGTTAACATTATCAAATGTCAGATGATAATGTCAGCTGTCATGTAGGTGTTGTTAGCACCCCATTTTCCATG